ATCTCTGCAAAAGGAGATATAGCTGCAGACAGTTCACGTCAATCAGTTCATTAATGTCTCTGCATGATTCTGTAAACACCGACCAGTCTGTACAGTCAAAGCAGCCCCGCAGGGCTAAAGAGGCGTCGTCACTCCAAACCTTGATGCGGTGTTTCCTCACCTTCTCTCTCCTCAGCACAGTTTTATAAACTGGCAGAAGATGCACCGTGTTGTGGTCCGAGGATCCGAGGGCGGGGCCTGCCACAGATGTATACGCACCTTTTATGGAACCATAACATAGATCCAGAGTCTTATTGAAGCGTGTGGGAAAATTCACATACTGATAAAAACTGCTCAGTGTTTTCTTCAAGTCACAGCGATTAAAGTCTCCCAGAACAATATTAAGGGCCTCAGGAGAGAAGGATTGTAGTGAGTGGATGACGTTGGAGATGGTGTCAGTCGCATTCTTTGGATTCGCTTTAGGATGGATGTAAATGACGGTGACGTTAATCTGTGGGAATTCCCTCGGCAGATAAAACGGCCTCAAAGACACAGAGAGGAGCTCAATGTCAGGCAGACACACCTTTTTACAGACGGTAACGTTTTTACACCATTTCTGATTAATACACAAGCACACTCCTCCTCCGTGAGATTTCTGGGTAGCTCCGGGTCTTGAGCCAAACGTATTGGAAACTCGAAGCCATTTAGTTCCAGAGAAGAATCAGGGTCCGAATCCCCGAGCCAAGTCTCTGTGAATGCCATTAGACATGTATCCCTGTAGTCACATAAATTTGCAACATTCAAATGCAGTTAATCCGATTTACTCCTCAGAGACTGCACATCAGCCAGGATTATTGATGATAAAGGAATACGATTGTATCGTATTTGCTTCCTCAATTGCTGATGTAGACCTCCCTTCATACCCCGCTTCCTTGCTTTGACTCTGTTAAAAACAAAAGTGCCCCTGTGGTTACCGGATAATCCAGAGCTGGAAAACACTGGAGGGTGAAAATAATCCAGAGACGGGCCGTTCCACCGAAGATCCAAAAGAAACTCCTGTGAGTATTGTAACAACCCTTATTGTGTTATAGCACCACTAGGGGGGGTTGCCCTAGGCACAAACATTCTCCACTGCAACCACTGGACATTCAAGGTATGGACATCGAGGCTGTGGACAGCTACAGGTACCTTGGTGTTCATCTGAACAACAAACTGGACTGGACTGGAATTCAGACGCCCTCTACAGGAAAGGGCAGAGCAGGCTGTACCTGCTGCGGCGACTCAGGTCGTTTGGAGTGGAGGGCCCACTCCTGAAGACCTTCTATGACTCTGTGGTGGCCTCAGCCATCTTTTATGGTGGGGTCTGCTGGGGCAGCAACATCTCTGCTGGGGACAGGAAGAGACTGAACAGGCTGATCAGAAGGGCCAGCTCTGTTCTAGGATGCCCTCTGGACCCTGTGGAGGTGGTGAGTGACAGGAGAATGGTGGCTAAGCTGTCATCCCTGTTGGACAACATCTCCCACCCCATGCAAGAGACTCTGACAGCACTGAGCAGCTCCTTCAGGGGCTGCGGCACCCACAATGTGGGATGGAGAGATTTCGCAGGTCTTTCCTCCCCACGGCTGTCAGACTCCACAACAAAGACTTCAATTGATCAAACACACACATGTGCAATAAGACTGCTATATGTGCAATTCTTTTTCTGACAAAGTTGCACTTTTGTATTTTCTCACTCAATTGTATATAGCATTTGTATTCTATTTTATTCTATTGTATATATTATTCTATTTTATTCTATTGTATATATTATTCTATTTTATTCCATTCCAGTGTCTTCTAATTTCTGCTGCATAACTTTGCACTTTTGCTGTAATGAAACAAAGTTCCCACCTGTGGGACTAATAAAGGTCATCTTATCTTATCTTATCGTAGTAGTTGTGGGAGTCTCCTAGAGGGTGTATGAGTATTAGTGGTGTGCGACACTGCATATTTTGGTATTGATCCGATACCAAGTAAATACGGGCCAGTATCGCCGATACCAATACCGATACTTTTCAATAAATAAATAGTTAAAACCCAGGACATAATTAGGAGAAATAATTTATTTATAATTAAATTTAAAAAAGCTTTATTATTGTGGCGAGTTGTGGTCTGCGATGGCGCTGCAGGTGAGATCGACTCACCTTCACGGCATCTACAATCATGCCTCGCCGGCTTAAAACCTGTGCGCTTCTTGTGCTGTTGTTGTTTTTGGTGTTCATGTGTACAGCTGGCAGCAGGAGAGCTGCAGCCATTACACGCTGCTCATGTTCTGTTCTCAGGAGAAACCTTACCATTGTAGCGGGCTGGCGCCGGCGACTACCGATCCCCGCACGTGTATGTACGGACAGAGTAGAGCCGTGGAGACCTGGCTTGTATGGTCTTATGTTGCTGACAATGAATAAAGGTCTGTTGTTTAATTTAACTGACTGGCTTTGAGTTTTCCGGCTAACCTCCACACCACATGCCCGCTGGACCTGCTAGCCGCTCCTTGCTCGCCAGACTGCTGTTACAGTATGTAATTGTTTGTGAGAAGCAATGACTCCAAACAACCGTCAGGATTGAAAATAAAACCATGCGAAATTAAAAAACCTATCTTCATTAAAAAGAGAGTTCCACAAAGCTCAAGCCAAAGCTTTAGGATTTCCTCAGGCTCAAAAAATAAAAAGCATAACTTAATAATGAAATAAAACAAGTTAAAACACTGACACTGACTGACAGACACCTAATATGGAAGAAACATTTTATCAAAACACATACAAGCAATGGTTATATATATCTTAGCACAAATGACAGTCTTTAAAGAATCAACTCTAACACTCTGTACTAAGAAAGCTTGAAGAGGCTCAAACTGTTCGAACACTATGGCTTATGTGATTGCCTATTGCCACGGCAATGATTGATATATAGTCAGAAGTTTACTTTCACTCATCAGGGCCATGAATGTTTGCCAATAGTTTGCTTTTAATTGTCTTTGAACTGTTGTTTTTCCAAGGTGGAATGACATAGTATACATATTTTTAAAAAAGAAGACAAAGAAATTGAATCACAATTAATTTATTTTGGATTTTATACAGGCTCAAATATATGCATTCACTTAAATCTTTTAATTAGTACTCATAAGCCAAAGCATACTAACCACTTTATTTATCTTAGAATCAGAAAATTCATTGAAGAGTTAAGGTTAGAAAGGACATGATTCATTGTTTTTGATTAAAAAAATTTTTTTATGATGATTGGTCATTTATTTCAATATGTGAACAATATAATAATAAGAGAAAATAAGAGAAAAAATACTATACAAATTAAATGATTCAACCTTAGATAAATAAAAAGAAAACATATAAATTTTAAAATGAGCATGAAGATGAGAATGACGTGTC